TAAATTTACATAAGCCCAGAACTTAAGGGAGAATTTTTATAAAATGTTTTATAGATGGCACCTTGATCCACAAAAAATGTCTCTTATGTACCCTGATTTACAGCCTAAATGTTGGAGATGTGGCTGTTTGGACGCCACCTATTATCATATTTGGTGGTCGTGTAAAAATATAAAAGCTTTTTGGATTAAGATATGGTGGAATATTCAAAGAATTTTTAGAAGGAGGGTAAAATTTACTCCGCAATTATTTTTGTTAGGTATTGTTACTGATTGTGATGCTAAGGAGGTTATATTGATGTTAAATTTGATTACAGCCGCAAGGCTGTTAGTAGGGCAATATTGGAAGAAGGAATCTTTGCCTACCTTGCAAGAGTGGTTTTTTAAAGTTTCCTATCTGGTGGAAATGGCAAAGATTTCGGCTTTTTTAAAGGAGCAATCGCAAGAGAAATTTTTTGCTGTATGGGAAAAATGGATAAATTTTATACAACATAAATTGGATATAAAAAAATATCATTTAGCTTTTTTATAACTTGTATATAATTTTTCATATTTTATAGATTGTTTTCTCTTTTTTCCTTTTTTTCTTTTTCCTATTTCTTTTCTTCTTTCTTTCTTTCTTCTTTTTTTCCTTTTTAAGTATTTTTTCTTTTTAATGTTTATGTCATATATATTTTATTATTAACTATTTTATAAGTTGTTAAAATTTGTTTAGGTTTCTTAAAATTTTAATTAAGCCTCTATTCAGCTCTGGGAAGCTCGGGGGGGGGATGGAGGGGGTGGTTTGGGAGGGGTTGGGTGAGGGTTGTTTTGTGTTTTTTGTTTGTTATTGTTCTTTTTTTGTTATTTGTAAAAACTTTTAAAAATTCTCAATAAAAAAAAAAAGCTATTACCAGGAAATCCATCAATAAAAAGTAGAAAGTGAAAGTGTTCAAACAAGGAGAGTAACAAAGAAACAATATTCCTCTGCCATATTTCTTGACTCCAGCAGTTTGTTAAAATAGTAACAGGAGAAGATGTTAGTTCTCCCTGAGTTAAATTAGAAGTAAAATCCAATCATTGTCCTCCCGACAGCTCTGTCTGCTTTAAAAGTAACTTACAGTTTTCATTAGGAAAGCAGCAGTGGAGGTGGTGTCTGGCTTCGTTCTCTTCGGAGAACAAAGACATCCCAGGAAACAGAGCAACACCCGGACTTCGGAGGAGCTCTCACGCTTCACCTCCCAAGAAAAAATCCCTGGGAGATTGGTGAGGCTCAACTCCTATCCAGGAGAGAGCTCACCTTCTTCCCTTCACCCGGGAAGAAATTTTCAAGCCATAAAACAGCTGATCGTCGCTGTTTAACCGGCTTTTACGATCTCCCGGGAGAGGCAGCTGTAAAACAGCTGCCATCAACACCAACGCAGCCACCGGAAGTCCGATGGCGAACCTTTTTGACCATTTGCTACTTGAAATGGAGTGAAACCAAGTGTGAAACCATGAGTGTACAGCATTATTATAGGCAACCTCAGCAAACGGTAGCAGATTGGCCCAATTGTCTTGTTGGTAATTAATAAAACATCTTAGGTAGCGTTCTAGAACACTACCTAAGCCTCTCTGTCCCCTCAGTAGTTTGAGGATGGTGAGAAGATGATATTCCCTGACTAGAACACATTAAGTCCAGAAAAGCCTTCCAGAATTTAGAAGTGAATTGAACCCCTCAGTCTGAAATTATATGCTTCAGGGCTCCATGAAACTGATATATGTTCTGCACAAATAGTTTAGCTAAAGTTTTTGCAGTTGAAATCTTGGGGCATGGGATGAAGTGAACTTGTCTGGAGAACAAGTCTGTTACAACCCAAATTACAGTGTTGCCAGCACTTTCAGGCAGTTCTATAATGAAATCCATAAAAATCTCTCTCCAGGGTGCTGATGGACTTGCTACTGGTTGCAGCAGTCCTGGGTATTTCCCTTGTCGCCTCTTAGCAGCTGCACATGTGGTGCAGCTGGCCACATAGCTTTCTATGTCCTTTTTCAATGCAGGCCACCAAAATTGTCTCTCAATATGATGTAACGTTTTTACAAAACCAAAATGTCCAGCAGTTTTTGAATCGCGTCCTGCTTGCATCACTTTAAGTCTCAAGGCTGCTGAGTTTCTGTCCAATCCACACTAATACATCTTTTAATGTACACAGGTTATTATGGTTAATGAAACCATTCATCTGTTTCTAAGGTGACTTTAAATTCCTGTAATAAAGTATTTCTAACAGGTTCCACTGGTTTTGATTGGGCCCTAGTGGTCACAGGGGCTGCAGTTGATGAGAATGCAGAAATGGTTTGGCCACTTCTGCTTTCTTACTGTTATATTGTGGTAACCTATAAGGCATCAGTCACAAAATTCTGCCCCCCAGGGAGGTAATGAATTGTAAAGTTGAAATGATGGAAATGTTTGGACCACCTTGCTTGTTTAAGGGAGAGTTTTCTGCATGTTTTCATGGCTTCAAGGTTCTTATGATCAGTCCATACTTGAAATGGTATTTTATTTCCTTCAAGGAAATGCCTTCAAGTGAGCAAAGCCCACCTACAGCGTAGGCGTCTTTTTCCCAGGCTGCCCACCTCTATTCAGTCTCTGACAATTTTCTCAAAGTGTAAGCACAAGGTTGCAATTGTCCATCTTTATTTTTTGGGAGTTAAACTGCTCCCACAGCCACATCACTGGCATCAGCCTGAATTATAAAGGGTTGTTCTGAGTCCAGGTGTTTCAAAACTGGCTCCAAAGAAAAAAGTCTCTTAAGTTTCTCAAAAGCCACTTAACATTCTCCTGTCCATTTTAATGGTTGACTAGGCTTTGGCTTATCTCCTCCTCTGGTCTTTAACAGGTTTGTGATTGGGAAGGCAATCTGTGGAAAAAATGGGATGAATTGTCTGTAAAAATGTACAAATCCTAGGAAACTTTGGAGCTGTTTCCTGGGTTTTTTTGGGGGGGGGGATGCCCAGTCTAAGACTGCCCTTACTTTCTCTGGGTCAATCTCTATCCCTTCATTTGATATGCAATAACCCAGGTAATCAATGCGATCTTTGTGGAATTCACATTTTGACAGTTTGCCAGAGCGTATTTCTTCAGTACTGCTCTGACTAGCTTAATATGTTCATCTTTTTGGACCTCTGGTTTTGACGTCACAGAATCACAGATGCAGGATGATGGGGCTCCGCCTTTCCCCTGCTGGGGGACCCTGGAAAGGGTTAAAAGTCACCCCATAGAGGCAGCAAGGAGGGGACTCTCATTGATCATGGGGGGGGGGGTAGCAGTCCTCCTATTTGATCTGAGGAAGCCCTCTTCCTGAAAATCTGCCCAAGCACTCCCGCAGATGAAAGAAAGGGAATTTCCGTCCCATTCCCTCAGAAAAGAAAAACGGTGAATTAATTACTTGGGGAAAATGGCAAAACCTATAAGACTTATCTGGAATTAATATATACATAAAGCTTGAAAATTTGGGGACTAAAAGTGTTTTTAAGACCTTTTTTTTAAAAAAAAAAGACTTGAAAAGTTTACAACATAAGTTTTGGATCTAAAAACTGGAAAGCAGTGTTTATGACATCTAATGATGAATTATGGCACTACAATTTATTTATGCCTAAAGGAAACCTGGCTTGAAGCCCAGAACTAGATAAGACTTTGGCTGGCCTTGGAAGCTTTTACTATTGAGAAATTGCAGCTGAGAAAAAAGGAACAGGCTTGGGAGCTGCTTATCTGTGTGGCACAGATGATAAACATTCTAAATTTGGCCTGTCTGAATTTTGAACATAAATACTGACTTTCAGAACTGTATTGTGGATTTATTTTCTTGTAGAAGAAACATATGGAACATTTTGGATTATAAATCTTGATTCTTAAACAATCTTCAATGGTTCTTTTGTCACCTTGGACAGAAAGGATATATTTCTTACTGGACAAAAAAAAATTGAATTTTAGTTATATCTGCTTAAGGGAGATTCAGGAATGGACAATTGGTTGGATAAGTCTATAAAGGCTACTTATAAAAAAAAAATAAAATGGATGTTTCATATTTAGCATTAAATAGTAAAACACCATCTTTAACATCTGTTCCTAGTAGCCTTAACTTGCCATAACATCAAGAAAATATTGATGAAACACAGAAAGAAATTCTCTCCATGTTGAAATTAATACAGAAAACAATTACTTTAGCTTGTGAGCAGGTTAATAATAACACAAAGGAGATAAAAGAACAATTTTCTAATTCAAATCTACAAACTCAGAAGACAATTACAGAGAAGGAACCAGCAACCCAGAAAATAGAAGGAAAACTAGAGAATGCCAGCACAAACATTGACGATCTAAAAGAAGAATCTAAGGACCAGACTCAGATAAATGAAAACTCAGAAGACACAATGATAATATTGGAAATGGAAATGACATTTTATAAACCAAGGTTTCAGAACATACTGGATGACAAGGAAGGAGACTGATGGAATGGAAGATAAAAGTCGTTAACAGAACTGTGGGGAACTGGAGAAGGAGGAAGGCGGTTTAATGAATATCAACAGGCTAGCTTTTCCAAAAACACTTTAACCAAATTGTTTCTCTTGTTTCAAATAATATATACAAAAATAGAGGAAGAATTATTTGATATTCCAAATGCACTGACTTGAAAAGTTAGTTGGCAAAGAAAGAAAGCTAGAGTAAGATTGAAGGAAACAGAAACTTTGACCTATTAGAGGGGATGCTATATTATTAATTAGAGGTTTGAATATGGTTAAGAATAGATTGTTAGAAATAGAAGTATAGTTATAACTATATAGTTAGGATTTGTAATCAGAATATTAGATTTTGGTATGAGAAGGGAAACAGGAAAATGCTAAGAAGTTTGAATAAGAGAAACTTTTGGTTACTCAAATACAACTTACTTTGAAATTATAAACAATAGAGACATTTTGAACACTGAGGGGAAATTAAAATTTTAAAAAAGCGAAAACAGGATACTGATTGAACATATAGATATTGAGTGCAAATGCAATTAAGATATGCTTTGGCTAGAAAAAATATTTTAAACTGATATTATTGATATCATTAGAAAAATAAAACAAATGTTGATATGCAATGGTATGTTTACTAACAATAATAATTGCATTTGCTTACTATGGAAAAATGGTTATTACCAAAAGAAGAGAGGATGTACTGGTGGGTGTAATATTGGATTTAGTTGGAAGAAGCTTATATGTACCACAGAATCACTAATGGACTCAGTTATCATGTTGTCTATTGAGCACTTGTTTGTAAAAATAGAAAATTAATAAACATTTAAAAAATATTCATCTTTTGTTTCGGTGTAAATAAGGATATTGGCCAGGTAAACTAGGACCCCCTTATAAAAGTGATCATGTAGGACTTTGTTGATCAGTTGCATGAATACTGCAGGGGGCCCCTGTAACCCAAAGGGAAGAACTTTAAATTGGCAATTGAAAGCAGTTTTCCACTCATCTCCTTTCTTTATTCTTATTCTGAGTCCCTAGGGATTGGGCGGCATATAAATTTTATTAATAAATAAATAAATTCTATAATAAGCCTCTCTCAAGTCCAGTTTTGTGGGAAAAAAATTCCTTTCGATAGGTGCGTTAACTTGTCTTTTATTAAAGGTAATGGATACATGTTTTCCATGCACACAGCGTTAAGGCTTCTATAATCCATGCAAAGACGAAGAGAGCCATATTTCTTCTCTCTGAATAACACAGGGGCTGCTATCTAGCTGGCCAGCTGGCTCGATAAACCCTCACTCTAAGTTTTTTTTGATATTTTTTTCCAGTTCGTTCAACTCTCTAGGAGTCATTGAGTAAATTTTAGGTTTTGGCAATTTCATCCCTGGGATGATTTCTATTGCACAGTCTGTGGGCCAGTGAGGGAGGAGTTCATCCGCCCTCTGCTCGCTGAAAGCTTCAGCCAAATCTCGGTATTCCATTGAGAGGCTTTGCAAGTCTGACTCACTGAGGGCAGAGGCAAAATCACAATGTAATCCACATCTCCCACCATTTCCTTTAGTAATGTGCGGGGCTTCCCCATGGGAATCTGTTGCCCTTCCCTCCAGTTCCATTTCTTTAGCCAAGCCAGTCCCAGAACTAATGATCACTCCATTCCCGAGGCCACAATAAATGTTAAAGTCTCTGTGTGGCCACCCAGGTCGATGTATAAGGGTCTGGTGGCAAAACTAGCAGGCAACCCCCCCAACAGAACCATCCAGATGGCAAAAATTGGAGTCTTAAGTCTCCTGAGGAGGATCCCCATTTTTCCCACTAGTTCTGGGCTAATCATGTACTGGGTACACCCCAAGTCCAGCAAGGCTAATTTCATGACCTCCCAATGCCGGATATGGAAAGTTCTAGGGGCACTGTTATGGGGTCAATTGGCCTATTCACCAATGGGTCATCCTCGTAGTCATCCTCCACCGCTTCTGGGTCATCATAATGTGGAGTTGACCCTCTTAATTGCAATCCCAAGCTCCCCCTCTTCCTTCCCCCAGCAGAATGGCAGCCCCCAAAAGTAGAATATATATGCAAGGGAAAACACAGAGGTTTTGAGGTCCTGACACTCTACGTTGCTACCAATTGAGGGTGATGTCATTTAGGCTACAAGGGACTCCATGGTATTCATAAATGAAGTCCTGTGGAGCCAGCTGTCAAGAGAAACGGGTGTGTTGAACGATTCTCTGGATCATTTCCCCCTGCTTCCGACCGTTTGACGGACTTCTTGGGGTCCCAGTTTCCTTGGAGGGAAAATGGAAAATAAGAGGAGCGATCTCTGGTGACAGCTGAGACCAGCGAATTCAGGAGAAGCCTTGGAAAAGTCGAGCGGAGGAAGGAGACAGCCCATAATGGCGGCCGCAAAGAAATGACAGCTGACAGCTGGCCGAAAGACAGTAGCAAAATAGTGGGACAGAGACGTGACAGATTGAGTGAAAAGTAATCCTAACAGCAATCCTGACGATTCAGTGGAAGTGATCTGGGGTGAAAGAACTTGCCGGAGGATTTCCAAGGAAGGAAGTACAAAGGAGCCCAGAAGAGTGAGAGGAGAGAAAGCTGTTTTCTTTTCTTCTCTCCTGAAACAGCAGCGAGAAAAAAGTTTGGGCATAGAAGGGTTGCTTGCATTGTGGAATTGTACTGGCTGGAGAAACTCAAAGTGAAGAGGAGTTTCTTTTTTCTATCAAAAAAAAGAGAAGGAAAGTCTAATCATGAGAGGCAAGTGCGCTTCAAAGCCATAAAATGAAAGTGCTGATGAAGCCGAGGAGGTAGACATTTTGAATTAAGACTGCAGGCTGAATAGCAGAGATAAAGACAAGAGAGACACCTGCTGGCTGAACAGAGAACAACTCTAGAAGGGAAAAAAAATAAAGAGGGAATTACAAACCTGAGACTTTAAAGTACACTTGGTTTTGTCTGCAAGTGTAAATTAGATATTTGAGCAAAAACTCTCTGAAAGGAGCTATAGGGAAAAACTATATGAGGGAATTGTGAGTATAGCAAGGGTGACAAATCATATATATTTATTGAACTTTTTGAAATCATTGACATCTATATTAGCTAAAAGAATGATTGTTAATTATATGTATTGATAAGTTTACTGTGAATATTGATCACTGCAAAATATTGGTGACCCAGATTTACAACTTAAATAATTTAATTTAATAACAAGTACCTAAAATTAATTAGTTATGTCTATGTTTGTTTTAAAACGCTTTAATATTCACTGTTAAGTATGTTAATATCTGTATTTAATATATCTAATTGACAACCTATTACTATATCCAAACCTAACATACTTAGATCTAATTGTGATAACCTTGATATACTGGACAGAAACAGAAAAATTGTAAATAAGTGGGGAGGTTGGTTTAAAGAGTTGAGAAAGATGACAAGTATTCCCAATCTCACGAGAGTTGGAATAGGAAGGAAACAGACAACACAAACCATAACAATGGAACCAAGCCCAGCTAGGCAAAGATCTCTGGAAGAGGTGACACAAAGAGATAGAGCGAACTCATTTAAAGACTTACAATTAATGCTGCATCAATAAAAGAGGTAATGTGTAAAAACCATGAAGACCTCAAAAAAAAAAAAAAAAGAAATTGGGAAAGTGAGAAATGATACAGGAGAACTTAAGGAAAAGATGCAGTCAATGGATGGGAAATTTGAGTGTTTTCAGCAACAGATTATGAAAAATGAACAAAAGTTACAGGAAATGGAAGAAAGAATGGGAAAAGAAGAAAAGAGAATAGATGAAATGAATGAGAGATTAACCCAGGCTAACAGAGAATTGGAATCGACAGTCATCTCCCTGGAACTAGAGAAGGCTGCCCATTACCTACGGTTCCAAAACATCAGAGAGATGAAAGTGAAGATCTACCAGTGATGATGACAGACCTACTGGTGGGAGCTTTAGGGACTGGCAAAGAAGAGATGGCGAACAAAATTGATGAGATCTATAGAATCCATACGAATTATGCAAGACAATATAGTCTCCCTAGAAAAGTCCACATTAGATTTGTTAAGAAAGCTATTAGAGATGAGATATTATTTAGGACTAGACACGACCCACTAGAATACTGAGGCAGGCAATTAACTGTACTTAAGCAAGTACCCAGAAGGGTGAGGGATTTAAGGAGACCCTACCAACGAATAACCTCCAAACTGACAAGAAAAAATATTAATTTCAGATGGCTGGCACCAGAAGGGATTATGGTGGTGTGGCAGGAAAAAATGCTTCGACTAGATACAATAGATAAAGCAGAAGAATTTTATGGACAAAATTTTGGTAATGAGGAGGAGTTAGTGGAAAGAGAGATAAGAGAAGGTGAGATACTAGCGCAGGCCATAGAAGGAAAGGAACCACAAATCAAAGACAAGGGAGCTGGGAAAAGAGAGGATATAGATAATGAAAAAGATAATGAAAATGAGGATAGACTCAAAGAAGTTAAAGAGGTTAGACCGACAAGAATGTTAGTGGAAAGAGAAAAGGAACCACAAGTTAAAGAGTCTAGACTGACAATAATAACAAGATCTAAATATAGATAAAGAGACAAAAGAGGGAGCTGAGATTCTATCCTTGAACATTAATGGCCTCAACTCCCCACTAAAAAGGAAAAAAAATTAAACAAACTCAGCAAGATGAATTTGGATATAATAATTCTACAAGAAGTCCATATAAAACAACGACATCAACATCTACTAAATTGCCCCAAATTGGGGAATATGTTTGCATCACTGTCACAACAAAAAAGGAGGAGTTGTAGCATATATTAAACAAGAAATTCCGACGAAACAAATTTACAAAGATGAAGATGGTAGAATTCTAATAATAGAAGTAATACTGAATAAAATAAAAATAGCTCTCGTGGGAATCTATGCCCCGAATGAAGGGCAGAAACAATTTTATAAAAAATTACATAGTATCATTGGTGAGTTTGAATATGATAATATCTGTATAATGGGAGATTTTAACACAATTGCGGATAGACACTTAGATTATAAAAGTGGTAAGATTAGAAAAGGAATTAAAAGAACATTACCTAGTACCTTCCTTAAAACGGTGGAGGAGTTTAATATCCAAGATATCTGGAGGGAGAGGAATATAGGGAAAAAATAATATACTTATTATTCGGGTCGAATCTATCATGGTCCAGAATCGACACGGTGTGGCTGTCAGCAGATTTAAATTCAGAAGTGGAAGACATTACAATTGACAGAACTCTTGGACAGACCACAATCCAGTCAGAATTAGATGGAGAGGACAAAAGAAAATAAGGAGATGGACTTTGAAAAGAGCAATTTTAAAACATAAAGAATTTAAATTGAAAATGGAAGACCAAATGGGCCTGTTTTTCCAGATGAACAAAAAGGAAGATACAAACTGACAAAATTTATGGGACACAAAGCCTACATGAGAGGTGTTGCAATTGCTTACATGACCAGGGAAAATAAAACCAAACTACAGCGACAAAGAAATTTAGAAGAACTTAGTAGAGCTGAGAAAAAAACTACAAAATGAACCACAAAGATGTGACTTGAAGCAACAAATAGACCTAATTAAACACAAGATAAACACCATTGAAAAGGAAGAACTGACACAGCAAATAAAATGCACCAAGCAAAATTCTTTTGAAAACGCTAACAAACCGGGGAGATGGTTGGCTTACAGAATAAAAAAACATAATGATAAAAAGAGGATTAGTAAACTATACAATGAAGAAGGTGATATTGTATACCAGAATGAAGAAAAGAAAATCATGGCCTATGAGTTCTACACGAAATTGTATAAACATGAAGAATGGAAAAATAAAGATGATATACTAAAATACTTGCAAACAGCTGAATTACCGAAAGTTCCAGAAGAGATCAAAAATATGTTGAATAAAGAGATAACACCTTTAGAATTATCAGAGGCGATTAAGAAACAAAAAAACAACAAAGCCCCAAGCCCTGACAGTTTACCGGCAAAAATATATATAATTTTACAAGAATCTTTAAGTCCAATATTAATAGAACTATTCAATGAGGTCCTAAAAAATGCGAAAATACCGGCTTCATGGGAAGAAGCAATCATTACATTGATTCCCAAGGAAAACTCAGACTTGGCATTTATTAAAAATTATAGACCTATCTCATTACTAAATTCGGATTACAAAATTTTTATGGCCATAATGGCTGAGAAACTTGAAAGATTCTTAGTAGAATTTATACATACAGATCAAAATGGCTTTTTACACAAAAGATACATAAGAAATAATGTTAGGATTGTATTAGATGTATTGGAATACTATGAGGTTCATAATGAAAAACAAATGGGACTAATTTTTCTTGATAAAAAAAAGCAAAAAGCATTTGATAATGTTAAATGAGACTTCATGCTTAATCAACTCGTATATATGGATTTGGGGGAGAACTTTATAAATATGTTTAAAGCAATCTATTCCAAACAGGCAGCTAAAGTAATAATCAATGGAGAAACAACTGAACATTTTCAAATTCAAAAAGGCACAAGGCAAGGTTGTCCACTATCCCCGTTACTGTTTGTACTGTCCCTGGAGGTATTAATTAGAACGATTTGGAAATATGAGCAAATCAAAGGCTTGGAGATTAAGAGAGAAATATTTAAAATGCAAGCTTTTGCAGATGACCTTGTTTTTATAATTGAAGAGCCCCTACAATCAGAGACAAGGCTAATGGAAGTACTGGGTGACTATGGTGAAATAGCAGGCCTAAAGATAAATAAAGAAAAAACTAAAATGCTTGTTAAGAATATGACTAGAGCACAGAAAAATGAATTAGTTGATAGATTAGGCATTCAGATTGCAAAGAAAATATTTAGAGATACAATTAACAGCTAAATGTGCCATACTTAAAGAAGACAATTACGACAAATTAATGGAGCAGATTAAAATTGATTTGGATAGGTGGACAAACCTACAGCTTTCTTTTATGGGAAGAATCGCTGTAATTAAAATGAACGTGCTACCCAAAATACTATTTTTGTTTCAATGCATACCGATCAAATTAGATAAAGATTTTTTTTGAAATTTTAACCAAATTATACTCAAATTTATTTGGCAAGGGAAAAAATCAAGGATTAAATTAAAATTATTGCAAGATTCTAAAGAGAGGGGCAGATTCGGTCTCCCGGATTTGGAAAAATACTATCAAGATACAATATTAATATGGGTGCGGGACTGGATACAATTGAAAAATAGGAGATTGTTAAGATTGGAAGGCCATGATATGCAGATTGGGTGGCACGCCATATTATGAGATGAGAAATACAAGGTTCATCAGTACTTCCGGAGGCATTATATAAGATGTGCGCTAATAGATGTGTGGGTTAAAATTAGGCAACAAAATTATATGCAAATTCCTAATTGGATTTCAACATTGGAAATGCACATACACCCAATGTTCATACAACTTGGGAAAGTAATAACATATAAAAATATATTAGACGAGAGAGGAGAATTGAAATCAAGGAAAAATCTTCAGGAAGAAGGGATAGGATTGGAATTGTGGGCATATTTCCAATTGCAATCAAGATATAGGAAAGATAAAAAAGATTGGGGTATAAAAACAGAGTCGACACATTTAGATAAAATATTATTAGGAACTGAGGACAAAATGATTAAAAGAATATATCATTACCTTCTAGACCAGGCAATG